GTACCCGTACCCGGTCAAGGCGGGTATTCCCCGTCAAAGTCGGGACGGGTTCGGGTATTACCCACGAATACGAGTTTATTTACCATCCCTAAGTAAGATGCAATATAAATTATATTGAGTTTAACTCTTAACGGCCACGTTTGGAACCACCCGTTCCTAACTAGGGTTATAGGCTTTTTTAGTAGTTTAGAACAACTCATTCCAGTTTGGGAACGACCTGTTCTGAGCTACCAAAAATAGGTATTTTTAGTAGTTTGGAACGACCCGTTCCAGTTTGGGAACGACCCGTTCTGGGCTACTAAATCACCCTTATTGGACTTTGAGTCTTCATATAATCTGTGAAAATCGGGGTGTTATAAGATCAATAAATAATGAGATACAAGAAAGAAAGAGAAATAAAGATATGGGAGGGAGTGAAGAGGAAGAGGTTGAGGACTTGAGGGTGAGGGGGAAGGGGAGGGTGGGAGGGAGAGGAGTTAGAGAGACAAAAAGTGAGAAAGAGAAATATAAAAAGAGAGAGAAAGAGAGACAGAGACAAATAGAGAAAGGGAGAGGGAGTGAGAGTGAGAGAGAGAGAGAGGAAGAAAGAGAATTAGAAGGAGAGAGAAAGAAATATATATTTTTATATCCATAAAATTTTTTTTCTATTTTTTTAAATAGTTATCAAACATAAGAAATTAAGGGGGGTGTATTGGTTTAGGATTTCGTAGGAGCATGTTATAAATGGTCATCTACCTCACCAACTCCTCCAATGAAGGCTCAAAAGAAGTAGAAGGTTGAGCTGGTGGAGGTGCAGGTGTAGGAGGAGATCTCTATTGAGGAGGCTGGTAGAAGAACTAGAGGGATGATTCTGGAAGGGTGCTTGATTTTGCTGGTTCTGAGAATTTCCCCACCTCAAGTTGGGATGATTCCTCCAACCAAGATTGTATCTATTGGAAGACAGATCATAATTCTGTTGTTGCTAGTGTGGAGGTATATTGTTGTAAATGTTGGAAGTATATTCTTGTGGAGCATCAGGACCTGCAGAAGAGTCTTGCAAGGAGGGACAAGCATCTGTTGGATGATTAATTGAAGTGCAGATGCCACATACTTTTGCTGGTGCAACAGATTTCTGGCTTGTAGCAAGTTGGGAGACTAAGGTGGTGAGAGCATCAATCTTACTCTCCAGCTTCTTATGTTCTGTTGAATCAGAGGCTCCCACATCATGGACACCTCTCACAACTATGGCATCACTCCTCATATTAAATTGTTGTGAATTGGATGTCATTTTTTCAATTGGCCCCCTAGCAGAAGCAGGTGTCATATCTCCTAAAGCTCCTCCACTAGTTGCATCAGTTATGCTCCTGTCCATTATGTTCAATCCCTCATAGAAATACTGCAATAATAATTGCTCAGAAATTTGATGGTGAGGGCAACTAGCACACAACCTCTTGAATCTCTCCCAGTAATCGTATAAGCTCTCCCTCATGAGTTGCTTAATTCCATATATATCTTTTTGGATTGTAGTGGTCTTGGATGCAGGGAAGAATTTTTCAAGGAACACTATCTTCTAGTCATCCCAACTTGTTGTTGAACCAGGAGCCAGATAGTACAACCAATCATTGGCAAGATCCTCTAATGAAAAAGGGAATGCCTTCAGGTAGATGTGATCTTCAGGGACATTATGTGGCCTCATGGTGGAACAAACTATGTGGAACTCCTTGAGATGCTTGTGTGGATCCTCACCTGCACGACCATGAAACTTAGGCAACAAATGGACCAGTCCAGTTTTAAGCACAAAAGGAACATCTTCCTCAGGGTATTGAATTCATAAACTCTCATATGTGAAATCAGGTGCAGCCATCTCCCTAAGGGTTCTCTCTCAAGTTGCAGGTTGGTCACCCATGTTTTCAATTGAGTCAACTTCAGATGCTACACTTACACTATGGGTATCACTCTCAGAAGGTGGGACTATATGTTCTCTAACTAATCTAAGGAAGGTCCTATCTATTTCAGGATCAAATGGATGCAAAATGCCTGGATTATTCCTAGTCATGCACTACATGCAATCACATGCAACTACCACGTGAACAGTAGGGGGAAAATGGGAATTTTAATGAAAACTTGGAAACCATCAAAACCAATGTACCAATATCATCCTAACATCATTAGAAACTACCACAAAAAATTTCAAAGCAAAATTCAAAGTCTAACTATGTGAACCACCTATGAAAAGTTTGGAAAAATAGGGAAATAAAACTTCAAAATTAGAAGAAAAAAAATAGAAAATGACCTTTTTCTGAAAATATAACTGGGTCTACACGGCGTAGCAGTTTCTGTTTGATAGATCTCTTTTTTCTACTCAAAAAGCATATATAATTTGTCCAATTCTGATAACCAGAGCAAAAGTTATGGCAGTTTAAAGTTTTGCTGAAAACTAGTTTCAAAAATTTTTGTATCTCCAAATATGGACCACCTTGAGGGCCTCTGATATTTTTCACACAAAATATGGGTTGAAGGAATTTACCACACAAAATTTGAGGTAAAAATAACAAGTCTAGCTATCAAAACCAAAAATCACAATTAATTGGAAAATTCAGCTACTATTCAGGACTATTCACGCGCACCAAAATTGCACCAGAAAAAAAAACTTTTCATTGATCAAAAGCATTTTAATGCTTTTAATTCCTTGGTGATATTTGAACTCTAAAGCATTTTAATGCTTTTAATTCCTTGGTGATATTTGAACTCTAGAAATGAACATAAATAAATAAAAATATAAAAACATTTTGGATAACAAATGTTTCTTTAGATTAATTATAGCAAATTGAAGAATACAATTATGAATTATTGTTAAAAAAGTTAGATGATGAATTTAGTGAATGACAATCAATAGTCATGCCAATTTTTTTTAAATAATTTGTTATTGCATTAATTATTGTTGTTCTATAGTTTGTTATTACTATGATAAATTTAGACATTTAATGGTCATGTACAACATTACTACTTTTATTAGGTAATTAAAAGTTTATAATAATAATAATAATAATAATAATAATAATAATAATAATAATAATAATAATAAAAAAGACATAATTTATTATTTTTTTTACAAAATTATATAACACTACTACTTTTATAAATGAATATATAAATATATAAATAAAGATAAATATTCTCTTTTCCCTTTCTTTTTCTTTTTCTACTGTTATTTCTTCTTTCCTTTATTTTTGTCTCTTCTCTATATTATCTCTTTCATTTATCCTTTTTTTTTCTTCTCTCTATTTTTTATTATATTCTTTTTTATTTATCAAGATTTTTTTTGTTAAATTTTTATCTATCAATATTGATATATAATTTTTATTAATATTTTTTAAATTATTAAATAATTAAAAATATTTTAAAATTATTAAATATTGTATTTTTTATTTATTTAATAATTGTTTATTTTCAATAAAATTTGAATTAAAATATCATATTTTAACTATATATTAAAAATATATTTAGATAATTATTCTGA